GAAATGCTATCTTGTAAACAGCCCTGTATATGTAACCTTTGTAAATGAGCGGTCATAGTTGCTCTGATTTCCTCAAGATGGGCCATGTGAAAGTGAGGCAGACATGGCCAAGCCACTCTTGAGGTCTGCGGGTGAGAAGCGGGACATCTGAGCTGATAACAGCTGCCAGAAGTAATTCCAGGAGGTCATGTGGAACAGAGAAAGCATTAAAATAATTTTAGAAAGAGCTTAGTAGCAAAAATAAAGGTGAAAATTTAGGTTTTGGAAGATTGACGATCAGAGGAAAATGGATGCAGTAGCTAAGGATGAGCAAGCACAATAGGTGAATCTCAGGGAAGATAATTCCTGCTGAGAATTGACATAGGACATATGCTGAGAGGAGGTCCCAGGAAGGACAGTTAATACATTTCAAACCATAGACATGGAAGCCAGGCTTGGGTGGTGCATGCCTATAATCCTCGCACTTGGGAGGCTGAGGCAGGAGGACTGCCATGAGTTTGAGGCCAGCCTGGGTTATGCAGTGAATTCAAAGCCAGCCTGAACTACACAGTAAAACTCTGTTTCAAAAAAAAAATAAAAGGTTTTTTTCACATGGAAAAGGCAAAAATGAGCAAGGATAATTGGCTTATTATACATGGACTCCAAATCCCAGAAAAATAAGTATCGTAGAAAGGGGCAGGCATGGTGAAATAAAGCCTAAGGCAATAAAGGTGTTAACCAGAGAAGACAAATGAGGGAATTCAAAAGAAGTCTGGAATGATAATCACAGCTGTACAAATTTGGGTAAGGTGTGACTTTAGGAAGACTGTGTTGTGTAAAGAGCATGGGATTCAAAAAGTCAGCAGCATTTCCATACACTGGACACAGGGATAAGTGAGCAACAGAGTTCTTACATTGATTTGGATTTTTGCGGGGTGGGGTTTTGTTTTGAAGAATAGCTTTACTGAAGATTAACTGAGTTGCAATAAATTGTATTTTAAGTATACAATTTGCTGTTTCTTTTTTAATTTTAATACATAATATGTGTTTAGAATAAACAAACATTTTCAACAACTGTTTGCCTGCTTATAAAAATCTAAAAATAACAGCAGAAATAAATTCCTACGTGAGGCCCGGGGATTTAGCTCAGTGGTTCCAGCATCTGTCTTCATGCCAGTACCACATTGTCCTCATTGCTGTAGCTTTGTGATGCATCTTTTTTTTAAAAACAGTTAAGGTGATAAATTTTTTGAGTGTAATTGACAAAATCACATACATCTAAAGTGTATATAATGTTCTGAGGTATTTGTATATTATGAAATAATTACTAGTTGACATAATTAACATATTAATCTCCTCACATATTTGTAGCAATTAATAATTTCCTCTTTAAAAACATTTTATAATAGCACACATCAAAAAAACACTTTTAAACAACAACCAAAAAATGTACTCAGCATCTCATCCCCAGAGATAGATTAAAACAAGTAAGTGAAAATACCCCTGTATCATCATGCATACCGATACATTCCAGACCATTTCCCAAGGTCTTCATACTTTAATGCAATTTTAATATTAAAAATTGTGCCACATGTATTATTTTATAACCTTGTATCATTTAATGGAGTGCAGTAAGCACCTTTCACCTCAATAAATTTTACATGATCTCTATAAGATAACTAATTTTCATGCCTCCATTACTGTCCCTTTTATTCCTCTGCTTATTTTCTTCTTCTTCAGTAAGTCTCCCTACTACTGTCATGTCTTTTAGATTCCACACATATTATCAAGGGAAACAGGCAATACTTGTCTCTATGAGTCTGGCTTATTTCACTTAACATAATGCTATCCAGTTCCATTCCTTTTCCTGCAAATGACATAATTCCATTGTTCGTTATGGCTGAGTAGTACATACTTAAGTCCTGTTTCCATAACTTGGCTCTTATGAATTGTACTGTAGTAAACATGGGTACACAGGTGACTCCATAGAGTGCTGACTTTGTTTTACTTTTTTTTGTGTGTGTACTGGGGATTGTACTTGGGACATTGAACTTTTGGGGCAGGCAGCAGAACTACTGAGCTAAAATCCCCAGCCTCTTTTTTACTTTTTAAAGTTAGTACATGTTAATAGTATATAATGATCATAATTCCTCGTGGAGAGTTGGTCTATGTACATAACACATCTTAATTATTTTTGCATCCCCTTCCCCACTGCTGCCTTTATCTCTTGGTCCCCTTCCCATGACATACTGATTCCCATGGTGGCTGTACTAATTTATATTCCCACCAGAAGTGCAGAAGGATTTCTACACCCCTGTACCCCGATGTGTACCAGCATTTTCTTTTTCTTTTTTTTTTTTGCATCCCCTTCCCCACTGCTGCCTTTATCTCTTGGTCCCCTTCCCATGACATACTGATTCCCATGGTGGCTGTACTAATTTATATTCCCACCAGAAGTGCAGAAGGATTTCTACACCCCTGTACCCCGCGGTGTACCAGCATTTTCTTTTTCTTTTTTTTTTAACTCTTGATCATAATCACTCTGACTCAAGTGATATGGAATCTCAAGGTAGTTTTGATTTACGTTTTCCTAATGGCTAAGTATGTTGAACTTTTTAAATATGCTTATCAGCCTTTTATACTTTGAAGACTTCTCTGTTCATTTGCCCATTTACTGACTAGGCTGTTTGGAGTGTGTGTGTGTGTGTGTGTGTGTGTGTGTGTGTGTGTGTGTGTGTTTGAGTTCCTTATTCTACACAGTAATCCTCTTGTCGAAAGAGTAGCTGGCAGAGATTTTCTCCCATTCTGTAAGCTGCTTCATCCCTTTCTTGGTTGTTTCCCTTGATGTGCAAAAACTTTGCAACTTGTTATACAATAATCCCATTTGTTAATACTTGTTCTCTTTGCTATTAGAGTCTTATTCAGGATGTTTTAGTCTGTGCCCGTGCCTTCAAGTGCCTGTGGCTTCTAGTTTTCTTCTATAACAATGATGGCAAACCTTTTGGAGACTGAGTGCCCCAACTGCAACTCAAAACCCAGTTATTATCACAAAGTACCAACACTGCACTGTTATCTGGTACTCTGCTACTGGGGCAACTTGGCTTGAGTGCCAGCAGAGAGGGCTTTGTGTGCTTGCTGAGGCACATGTGCCATGGGTTCACCACCACTGTGCTAGTGTCTTCAGTTTCTCTCTTTTCCTGGTTTCTTCTCAGCTAGTTTATTATTGGTATATAGAAAAGCTATTGAATTATTGATGTAGAAAAGCCATTTTTTAGCCTTTTTAAAAAAATTCATTTTATTGTTACATTTAAGCCATTGATTTTTAATTATTGATTTTGTATCTTTTTTGAGATAGAGGGAAAAAAACAAGGTGACATTCTTACTAAAAATAAGACTATGTGACATCATTTTATGGTACAAGATCCCAAAGATGACTGTAACTGTATTGTTTACCTTAAATGTGCCAATAAACTTAATGAAAAAAAATAAAGATTTTGTGATTGATTTTTTAAAGGAATGATTATAAGCATTGCAGGGTTTTATTTTGTTTTGTTTTTAGTAATGAGATCTTGCTATGTTACCCAGACTGGTCTTGGTCCTCCTGCCTCAGCTCTGTATAAGACTATAGGTGCAAGCCACCATATCCAGCTTTGTATTGAGGGCATTTGAAGGATCTTGATACCTGAATTGGCATCTATATGACCATTGATGTAAATTATAAATTAGGCAAGGGATGGGCTGTGTTCGTGAATTTATCTGTCTGGCTATCCAACTATCCATCCATCTACACCTCTTATTGGCAAAGAAATTTGAAAGAAAAAAATTATTTTCTATCTTTATTGCGTATTTTAAATAAATAGCCTGAAAGTAATCCAAAAAATGACCAATGGGGCTGGGGATTTAGTTCAGTGGTTCCACTGCCTGCCTCGCAAGCGCATGGACCTGAGTTTGATCACCAGTACCAAAAAAAAAAAAAAACTAGTGATCCCAGATAATGAAAATCTTTTTATGTGTATACTTTATGTGCTATTATGTATCTGTGTGGAATATATTTTTTAGAAAACAAATATATTCCTATAATTTTGACAGTTCAACAGAGAGGATGTGTGGCAAAGTAAAGATTATTTCTTTTTTTAATCACATAGTGGTAAGAAGTCAAATTAAGCCAGGCTGGGTAGCACAGTTGTAGTTCCAGCACTTGGGAGACAGAGCCAGGAGGATCACTGTGATTTTGAGGCCCCCGTGAACTACAATCTCAAAAAACAAAACAAAACAAAAGTCAAATTAATTTCTCAGTAGCTGGGAAGTTTCTAAATAGAAGATAAACATTACTATTATGATACAGGTTAAGTAAAACTAACAAGAGGAATAATTAGAGAAGAAATTAAGCTTCCTTATGAAGGTGATGGGATGATAGAGGTATTAAAAGAAAGGAAAGCTCTTAGAAGAATGGTTAAAGCTATACAAGTTAAGCTCAAAGAGACATGTTTTTGCAGAATGATTAATGAAAAGCATAAAAGGAAAAAAATTTTGAAGAAACTGGAATAAATATTAAAAATTCAGAACCAAATGAAAAGGTCTTTCTAAACAGATTCAAGATGGTAGAAAATAAAAGATTAAAGGCAAATTTATTGCTTCACAATATTTAGATTTTGCAAGACTTTAAGAGAATATAGGTGGAAACATTCAAGTTTTCTTTAAAAAGTAGTATGAATGTTTGAAGAATTCTTTATCATTCTGCTTTAAGAGCTAGATAAGAATTTTTGAGATGGGGTATTTTTGTGAAGAGAAGGGTGATCAAATGGCTGTAATTTGTAGTGTCAAAAGATGAGCAACCCAGGCGTGGTGACTCATGCCTGTAATCCAAGGATGCAGGATACTGAGGCAGGAGGATCACTAACAAATTTTAAACCATTCTGGGCCATATAGTGAGTTCAAGGCCAGCCCAAACTACATAGTGAGACCCTGTCTCAAAAACTCAAAACAAAAGATGACCAAACCTTTTAACACTTGGCCCTTAGGTGAGCAAAGTAATAAAATTGCTGAAGAAAGAAGTTAACTTCTGGATTTAATGGCCTGATAGCTGGGTGCTGCAGGATCACTGAGCAAATTCCTGGCACCTCTGTTGGAAGGTGAGATGACTAGCACGATAAAACAGTATTAATACAAAGTGGGAGAAATCGAGAACTGGTGCGTGAAGCTAACCCTAAATACTGGATGTAATATTTTTATGAGAATCCTGCAGGAAAGATTGACAAGAAAAATAGAGAACAAGAGATACTAGGGAAACAAACTGCCATAAAGGAGATGTGAGGAGTTAACTGAAAAGTCACTGTAAATGGCAAAAGAATGGGGTGGAAAATAAATTTATTATGCTTGGATTAAGAAAACTTTTATCAGGATAAGCCTTATGATATCTTTTTAATATCAAGTAAAGTATATTGTTTTAGAGCAGCCTTTGAAATGTGAGGACATTCTATATAAGTCATTGGGATCTATATTTCCATTTATAGAAAGATTGAAAATTAAAGTGATGAAGAAGAACAAAGTAATACTACCCATGTATTTCTTTTAATGTCTTCTGTGAGTATTTTTTAATGGTTTTTGGTTTTGGTATCAGGTAGTTTCTTTTAAAAATGGCTCGCCAATTAAACATATTCTAGGTCCTTCTCACCTCACAAAGAATTGAATGAGGGCCGGGGATTTAGCTCAATGGCACCACATCTGCCTCTCAAGTGGAAGGCAGTTCCATCCCTGGAAATGAGTTCAATCCCTGGTACCAAAAAATCAAAAAGAATTGAATGAGACAAGCCAAAAATGGTGCCAGTGTGTATTTGAAAAGTAGGGATGAGGGGGAAACTGGCTCGGCAGAGCAAACTTGGGCTGAACAGAGAGGAAAAGAGAAAAGCAAAACTAAAAGTACACCCTGTGTATGGAGGACATTGGCTGAGCCACCGTGTAAGGGACGTGATAGTGGGCTCCTCATGGGGTCTGGGTCCTTAACATGCCACCCACATAAAAGGAGAGAGTCTCAAGGGCCTGTAAGGCTGCCCTTTTTGCTTTGTTTCTCCTGTCGGCCTTTTGTTTTCCCCAGGAGACTTCAAACATGTCTCTTTGGTGCATGACTATGACATGGTTGGTAAGGTGGACTGCCTTTATGAATTTTTAAATTTCCTGCCTGTTTTCTTTTATAGATGATTGATTGTTAGTAAGTCAGTCTCTTTCCTTCCAGATTGCTGCATGGGCATGTAGCATCAGAAAGCATATCTGTAGTTTATATAGATGTTTAACCTTCTTCCTTTTCCTAATATCAATGCCTGAGTAGCAGCTATCAGCTCTACCTTTTGAGCAGAGGTTCCTAGAGGAAGAGGTTTAGATTTAGTGACTGGTTGTGAGCTGACAACTATCTAACCTGCCTTTCAATGTCCTTCTTAGAGCTACTTCTATCAATGAGCCATAGCTCCTCAGGGCTTTCGAGGGGCATGTCACTGATGTACTGCCTCCTTGCCTAGGCCTAGAGATCGGTCACTTGTTCACAAGAGTGGCTAGTTAACTTCTTAGTGGAGGAGGAGTTAAGAATCTCTGATTCAAAGTCCTCTTGACCCCAACTATGGCCATAGATCCAGAGGAGGTTTTTCTAGCGAAGTAAATGAAAACAGAATGAAGTAATTAAATTGGTTCATCCATGACATTTAAGATTATCCAGAAGAGGTGGTGATGTCTTTCAGGTCCCCCTGGGCCTCTTTAATTATCAGAGCAAGAAATGAGGGCTCTGGCTGGGCTAGCACCTCTGTGGGAGAGAGAAGTTAAACCTCTAATGCAACAAGTCAGGTACATTAGCTGCCTCACATATGAAACAGGCCTAGGAGGAGGCTTGGTTCAGTCTTGTGTCCTATGTCCTGCATAAGAAGCAGGAACCCTTTCCTAGATTGTACCTAGGATTTTTCCTGAGATGGCTGGGTGACTTTAAACCAATACCAATTTTAGAAACTATAATCTTAGCCTCTTTCTTTTGTCCTTCCTCTGGGTCCCATTTGTTGAACACAGAAAAGGTTGTGTCCAGTAACTGGGCCATTGGTGTCTGTGACCCCTTCTGAAGTTTTGTAGCTTACTTCAGATATCTGGGACTGATTGACAGGTAGAATAATGTCCTACTATGGCTTCTCTCTCCTTGGAAGATGGCTCTGTATTAGTGTACTTGCAAAGGGCTTCTGTTAATTGATTTTAAAAGACAGCTAGGGGACTGGGGATTTAGCTCAGTGGTGCTGCTACCTGCCTTGAAAGCACAAGGTCCTAAGTTTGATCCCCAGTACCAAAAAAAAAAAAAAAAAAGAGCTGTATTTTGCTCTGTGTTCTGTATGACCCCACTTACTTTATCATAGTTAACAGACCTTTTAATGTATCTTTTTATCACCTGATAGGAGCAGCTAGCATATTAGATATCATTTTTAGGCCATGATGAGTATTAAAGTCCCAGTTTGCGTCTGTTGAAGGGAGAATAGCTGTTCTAGAGTGGACTTTTTTTTTCATTTACAAAGCATATTACTCATCTGCAAAGTTCCTAGCTTCTTGTAGGATTCTTTCTTTTATCTAAAGTTTAGCAAGTGGCCAAGATGAACTGGACATCTCACCATGATAAGTCTCAAAAGCAAGGGTCAAAGTTTGGAACCAATCTGCAAACTTACTAGGGTCTTCTGACAGTTGGCCTAAGTAATTCTTGGCATTGCTGGAGATCTACACTTGAAAAGGGGATCTGCACTTGAGTATTCCCTCCCACCATTGTGGTTTCTCTTATGGACAGGACAAGTTGTAAATTAGAGTAATGGGAAGCACCACTTTGGGTTTGATGTGTGGGCTTAAAGCTGTCTGTGTGTACCCAGTGGGATGTAGGGCTGCTGAGGAGGCAGCCAAGAGAGCTGAGGAGCACTGGGTTCCTCTGGAGCACTAGGTCCTAATGGAGGGGCTAGACCTTCTTTGGGATCTATTGGTCTGAGGATTACAATGAGGAGACCTCCTAGTATGGTTATCTTCCCTAAAGACCAAGATCCCCCTGAGAGACAAGTGGGGGTTTCAGGACAGGGTCATCCAGGATATCTTTCTTTTCAAGGCCCACACTAAGAACCATGATTCCTAAGCATTCTCTTTGATAAAGAGTCAAAAAGACCTAAACATAGGCATTTTACTCCACCTTTTATGTTCCAAGCAGAAATGCTGCAAAGAGAACAGTCTCGTATCATCTTGTACCCATCCTTTGTCACTTCCCGGTTTGTATTGAACCCAGACAGTATTATAATAGTACTACCATGTAAAGGACACAATAGTGGGCTCCTCGTGGCATCTGTGTTCCTTATATGTCATTCAGATCTCCTAGGAACTTGGGAGAAGTTCCACTTACGGGGTCCTGAGAGGTGGGGCTGTGACTGTGTAATACTGGGTTATTTGCCAGCCAGTCTAAGCCACCCTCTGTCTTGTGTGTGTGTGTGTGTGTGTGTGTGTGTGTGTGTTGTTTGGGGGAGTAATCTGTAGATTAAATTCTTCCTCCTCCATTAAATTAGAGCATAAAGGAGACTGTCCAGGGAAGCTGAGGCCATTCATAGCTCCTTATTCATGAATAGCTTCCCACTAGCTATTTCAGAAGCAGGTTTAAAATAGAGTACCGGAACACTGGCATGACATTATAAAAATGGATTTTAAAAACAATGTGCCTGAAAAAAAATTTTTTGAGACTAAGATAGTTGCTGTGAGTGGTAAACTGATCAAATAACTGTTGGTGTCAGTCTTTTCTGCTTCATCTGCAGTTTTCCCTCTCTAACCTGTTGTAAAGAATTGTATTCTTACACATCTCAAACCCCTATTTAGAAATCTAAACATAAATGCTTCACCTGTGTCTATCAGTTATAATTCTGTTGCATATTTAATCAGCAAGTCTGTTCATTTTTCTTCTTCAATCTCTCACATATATTTACCTCTCTGCATTCATTAGTTTAGACCTGCAGTAGGCAGACTTTTTCTCTTCATAAAATATCAGATACTAAATACTTTAGGCTTTGCAGGTTGTATAATCTCTGTCACTGCCACTGTTTCTGGAAAGCACCCATATACCATATGTAAATGAATTCGTATGATTGGTTTCCCATAAATCATTATTTACAGACACTAAAATTTGATAAGATACATTAAAATTTGATTTTAAATAACTCACATCACAAAGTCTTCTTTTCAATTTTTCTCCCATTTAAAAAATGTTATCCTTGAGTTTTCACCCCTACAAAAACAGAGTCACAAGCCACAGTTCGCTTGCTTCTAGCTTAGACCGATGTTTTCTCTTCCTGTGAGGTGTGACTGTCGTTTCTGACCTGTTCTCCTTCCCTCTGGTCTTGTCCTCTTTAGTCTACTCTTCATGCCTCAGCCATATAGACTTTACATTGCAAATTAGATTTCAGTGCTTTGGTAAAAGTCCTCTAAATGTTGGCCATATTCTATAGGATGTATCCACATTTTTGGTGAGACCCTTCACCTGGACCTTCTCTTTCTAGTCATGTATCTTACTATTTTCCCAAATCATCTGTTCCAGCTTTGTGGTGCTGCTTGTCTCTCCTAGAATGGTTGATGTTTTTCACTTCTAAGTTCCTTCTCACTTTTTCCTGTTTCTACCTGGCTAAACCGCTGCTCTTCCTATAGGAGTCAATTTAGCCATTATCACCATCTCCAGAAGCCTCACTTTCTCCCCCAAGGCTGGATTGCAGTGCTTCCTCACTAAGTTGTCCCATTGTGTCTGTAGAGCCCAATCATATCATTCAGTTTTATAATAGCTCACTTACTTGACTGCTGTTCCTAATTACTAAACTGCTTAAGTCATACTGTTTGTCCATTATTTTATCCCCATGTTCCTTTATACAGTGAGCATTTTTATGTTTCCGGGGATGTTTTTTCATATTAAAAGAAATTTAGGCCAGGTGTTATCCCACATACCTGAAATCCCAGCACTTGGGAGGTTGAGGCAGAAGGATCACATGTTTGAGCCCAGCCTGGCAATTTAGGGACTTAATGATATATTGTCTCAAAATTAAAATTTCAGGGCCATGGATTTAGGTCAGTGGCAGTGCACCTGCCTCACAAGTACAAGGTCCTGAGTTCGATCCCTGGCACCAAAATTTTTTTTTAATTTAAAATGACTGGAGTTGTAGCTCAGTGTGAAGTCTCAAGGATTCAATCCCTAGTACCAAAAGAAAAAAAAATTGAGATACAATTTATATACCATAAAATTCACTCTTGTAAAGGGTTATGTTTGGTACATTCAAAGTGTTGTGCAGTCATCACCACTAATTTCAGAACATTTCCATCCCCCTAAAAAGAGTCCCTGTGACCGTTAAGGAGTTATTCCTTTGCTGGGCATGGTAGTACAGCACACTCGTTATGCCAACACTCAAGAGGCTGAGGCAGGAGGATTGCAGCTTGAGGCCAGCCGGGGCTAAAATGAAAGTTCAAGTCCAACCTAGGTTACATAGCATGATCACAAATAAAAGCAAGTGACTCATTGGGGCTGGAATTGAAGCTCAGCGGTAGAGTGTTTGCTTACTCTGCATGAGGCCCTGGTTTGATGCTCCACACTCAAAGCAAGTCACTCATCGTTCCTCTTTTGCCAGGGCCTGGCACTACTTATTTGCTTTCAGTCTATGGATTAGCTAACCTTTAGATTACCTTTCAGTCTATAGATTTGCCTCTTCGTGTGTAGAATCATACAGTACTTATCCTTTTTGTGACTTACTGTTCTCCACATCCATACTGTTTTCAGAGCACATCCATGTTGTATCAAGCACCAGTATAGTACTTCATTCCTTTTTATGGCTGTGTATCAGCGTTATATTCTAAATTTTATTCTTGAAAAACCCTCAAGGGAAACAAATCAAGACTCCTAGATGTCTGTTGCTTCAGCCAGAATGGTTGTGCTTTCATCTGATTCTTGTTTATGAATTCATTTTCATTTTAAATTTGAGTCATTGGCCAATTGAAGAATAGACTGCTTGGTTCTGAAAGGCTCTCTGTGATCTTTCCTTCCATATTCTTTCCTGCTGTTCTTCCCCTCTTGTGCTTTAGACAGATCACGCTTGGGTGGAGCTTCATGTCTGCCTCATGCTGTCTTTTCTGCGCCTTCTCAGACTCCTTTCTACAGCGCTTCGCTCAGCTTTGAATTTCAGTAGTAATTACACTGTTAGATGCTCCCTGGCCTACTCATTCCTTTAGACTACTCTTTTTTCTTTCCCTTTTTTTCTTTTCAGTACTGGGCGTGGAACCCAGGGCCTCACACATGCCAGGCAGGCACTCTACCACTGAGCTACATCCCTACCACTCTTTATTCTGTTTTTGAGAGAAAGTATCACTAAGTTGCCTAGACCGCCTCAAACTTGGAACCTCCTGCCTCAGCCTTGCAAGTAACTGGGATTACAGGTGTGTACCAGCCCCACCCAGCAATATTGCTCTTCTTCTTTTTTTTTTTTTTTTTGTACTAGGGATCAAACTCGAGCTCTTGCTCTTTCCAGGCAGGCGGTGGAACCACTGAGTCAAATCCCTGGCCCCACTCTTCCGTTTTTAAAATTGCTTTGTATTCTTTCCTCTGGTGGCACTGGATAGGAGGACAAGGATGTGCGACTATAAAGGAGAGTTTAAGGAAGTTCTTTTTGATGATGGAAAGGTTCTTTGTCTTGACTGGAACTGTAGTTACACAAATTTACACGTATGATAAAATGGCATATAGCTATACATACTTGAATCAGTGTCAGTTTCCTGATTTGATATAGTAGTATGCCATAGTAATGTCAGATGTACCCATTAGAGAGAAACTGTGTAGGGTACATGGGTCCTCTCTCTGCTACCTTTGCAAGTTTCTGTGAATCTATAATTATTTCCAAATCAAAACTTTTAAAAGTGTGTTTTTAGCCAGGTGTGGAGGTGCACTCATGTAATCCCAGCACTCGGGAGGCTGAAGCAGGAGGATCGCTGTGGGTTGGAGACCAACCTGGGCTACATAGTGAGTTCCAGGTCAGTCTCAAATACATAGTGAGACCCTGTCTCAAAAAAACCAAAAATCCAAAAAAAAAAAGTGTGTTTTAAAATTGAGATTAGTGTTTGTCACAGTCATTTTGCCATTTTTATTAGTACTTCTGCTCATTATGAACCTGCATGTGCCTTTCAAAATGAAGTTGCATTGTGGGAGACTGGAGAACTGATTTGTAATGGTATTTTAGTTACCTATTACAATTAGGTGAAGCTTGTTTAAAGTGAGAATGGAGACACAGAAGTGTATAAACCCATGGTTTACCTAAGGCCTTTTAAATTTTTTAGATTAAGTGGTAAGCCTTAATTTCAGTCTTGGTTTGGTATGCTTTTAAGTTCTTCCTGTTCTTTTTACAGTACTTGGCCCCTAGAAGACAGTGAGCATGGTGATAAATCCTGAAGTAGAATGTTCTAACACATGATGCTGTCTTATCCTCTGGGAACTTGATAAGCATTGATTACTTTTGAGATTGTTTTAAGCAATTAATTTTTTGCTTAATATAGAATTAGAAGTCTTCTGGTAAGAAATTGAAAAACATCATTATATTATGTTTAACTCGAACTTAACACTATCAAGTAAAATGAATAGTACCATGCAACTTAAAAAAAATTACAAAATTAGAATAAACCTCTAATTCTTTTTAAAAGAGGTAAGGTATAAATAATCAGTTTGTGTTTGAATTTTTTTGGTACCAGGGATCGAACTCAGGTCTTTGCACTTGCAAGGCAGGCGGCGGGGGAACCACTGAGCTAAATCCCCGGCCCTGTGTTTGAATTTTTGATCAAGCTCAAAGTGAATATGAGCAAATTTACATATTCTTTAGTAAAATGAAAATTTAATTGTTATTTCAGGTTAAACTGCAGAACAACATATCATATCAGATGGCCGACATACATCATTTAAAAGGTAAGAAAATCATAGATTAAAGATAACGGTCATCAAGTTTCTAAAATATTCAAAAGTTAAGAAATAGTTAAATAGCTAAATGAAATAATGATTTTCTGAACAAGGCTTGGTGGTAAAACATTTGTACTTTTGTCTGAAGATATAATAAAGAATTATTTATATCATTTTATAGATGGTACAAATCAAAATTTAAGGTCTGCATTTTAATCTTGTGTTAGACAAGGTTCATGTAATGAAATGTTCTTAAGAGAATCTTCAAAGTAAATTGAACTGTAGCATCAGAGGCTATCCAGTTTCTAGAGAAAAGGTGGGGAGCATTCTCCCTGTGTTGTGTGATTGCAAATAACCCATTCAGGTCAAGATGCTGGGACTGATCCTCCTCCAAGTTTAATGTTTTGGAAACCTTGGGAAAAAAAGAAACCTGGAAAATAGATAAATATGTAATAAATTAATAATACTAAATTTTAAGATACATGTTTTCTCTTAGATGAAGTGATAGGAGATGATTTACTCTGTTATGGGAAAAGTAGGTAAGGAGAACAAAGTCTACACTCAGCTTCATATTACTTATACCATATGGTGTTCTTTTTTGAGACAGTGTCTCTTGCATGTGGCCCAGGCTGGCCTCGAACTTGGGGCGATCCTTCTGCCTCAGCCTCCCGAGTGCTGGGATTATAGGTATGCACCACCACACCTGGCATCTGATGGATTTTTGGAGTTTGGGGTCTGAGAACCAACTCTCTTGGCCCTCACACACTGTGGTTAACAGAACTATGTTTTTTAAAAGCTTGCAGTCAGGTGTGTTTGCGAACACTTGTGATCCCAGCACTTGGGAAGCTGAGGCAGGAATATCACTACAAGTTCTAGGCCAGCCAGGTACAGAGTGAATGCAAGGCTAGCCTATATAGTACATTGTAAGACCTTGTCTCAAAAAACAAAAAAATAAAAGCTTGCTCTAAGCTTGTTGGTACTACATATTTTCTGATGTCATAAATATCCCTTTATTGCTATTTTGAGTCTCTTTAGGTTTAGAGAATCTTTTGTTATCATCCTCTAAGTAGCAACCTGAGCTAGCTTTGTAATGTAGTATAGTGTACTTCTTCATTTAGCAAAGCCATTAGGTATTGGATAGGGCTTGAAATATCTTGGAATTTTGCATGATACTCCTTAGCAGATAAGAAGATTAATCTGAATGTAGAGCTGTATAACTTTTATACTTCCTGAGACTTGGAAGGCAGGTGCAGTGCCAGTGAGCTACATCTCTGGTCTCAGATTGAAGTTCATTAGTGTAACTTTTGTAACTTAGTAATGAATTGATTTTAAACAGCTTTCCTTCTTAGTATACCTATATGGAAAGAAAATTTGAAGCCACAATTTTGTAGAAGTAAATACATACTGTTTTGTTTTAAAAACTGGTCATAGGTGGACATCTTATATACGCTTATAATCCCAGCACTTGTAAGGCTGAGGTAGTAGGACTACAAATAGAAGCCAGCCTGCATGACTTAGTGTGACCACTCTCAGAATTAAAACAAAACAAAAAAACAAACAGAAAATTAAAAGAGCTAGGAATGTAGCTCAGTGGTAGAGTAGTCACCTACCATGTGTGAGACCCCGGGTTCAATCCTCCATACTACAAAACAGTAACCGCTACAATAGCAAAAGCTGCCCCTGGGCAAATCCTTTTTCCCTAGACCTTATTATTGTTGTTGTTATATTACTATTTATGTTTTTTGTGGTAGAGATTGAATCCATGGTCTCACACATATTAGGTACGTGCTGTGCCACTGAACTGTGCTGCTACCCACCCCACTCTTATTTCTTGAAGTTCAACTGCACAAGACACAGAATATCCTGCATTCATATAATGAAAACACATGCCAGTCAGTTGAAAGTAAAATTTTACTTTCTGGCCTGTTTACTTTTTGTAGTTCAAGTCTTTGTTTTGACCCATGTCAGGTATCAGTTAACTCTCTGCTTTATAATCCTTTTCCTGTATTCAAACAGAAAAGAATCTGATGTTTTATAATGGCTAAAACTCATTTATATTAATGTTTTGTTTTTCTTTGACAATTACATTTTAAGCCCTTTATTTTCACTTAGCCTTTTTCTATATAATTAAATGTAAACTTTGTTTCCTGGTAAAGGAGTTTTGACAGTGGCAAGCTTTGTGAGAGGGGGAAAAATACATTGAAACCTTGAAATACACTAAGCTACAGGTTCATTCTGAAGCTATTTTAGGCATTTTATAGTGTGGGAAAAGGCAGCCTAACCCAAAAGTGAAAAGGGACTGTGATCTTTCTTTTCCATATTCCCTGAGAAGAATGGTTCTTTACCAGAAGGAATATCAGTTTTAATCCATTCCTGGTAGTTACTGACTGTTTTAACTACAATAACATCCAGTCCTAGAGCACTGAGCTCAGGTTAATTGAACTGGTCCTTCCATTCCTATCCACAAATCTTTTTGTCACTGCTTCCTACACAGATCTCATTTTTTCCTATAGAATTAACATTCACAACTGGGATCAGGCAGTATTTCTGTTCTTTCTATCCCTGTATCTTAAGAGATGGGGGGACAGGATATGGTAACAAGCTGAATGTGCTATTTATGGCCACAGATTCATCACATATTTCTGAGGTTGGGTAGATTGACTGTGCTTACATATTGGAGAATTCATAGAATAAAAGAAGAAATTTAAATCTGAGTATGTAAAGATTATTAACTGTGACCACACAAATCACTGAATTTTAACCCCTGTAGCTCCAGCAATAAAACCCAGGGCCCTGCATTTGCTAGGCAGGTGCTGTACTACTGAGATGTTTCGCTAGCCCAGCACAAATTACTGATTTTTTCATACCTGATTATTTTACAGTTAATCATATATATATATATATATATATATATATATATATATATATATATATATATATATATATATATATATATATATATATATATATATATATATATATATATATATATATATATATATATATCAGGAAATGTTCATGTGACTTAAATCTTTATTTATATTGCCACAGTTATAATTCTATAATAAAAATTAGAAAGTAGAGAAGATGGTGCCACACCTGCCTAGCAAGTATAAGGTCCTGAGTTCAATCCCTGGCACCCCCCACAAAAAAAAAAAGTGGAGAGAAAAAAAGAATATTCTCAGAATCTCACCACCAGGCATACTCATTCAGAACACCTTGATATTTTTATATGGACACAATTATATGTTTGTCTGTTTCTTTTAGGTACCAGGGATTGAACTTGGTCCTTGAGCTTGGGAGGCAAGCGATTGAACCACTGAGCTCAATCCCCGGTTCTATATAATATATTAACACATGCTTTTTGTATCTTTTATTTTTTAAAATGTTTTTAGTGCTGAAGATTGAATCTACAGCCTCACCTATGCTAAACATACTACTGAGCTACACTCCCAGCCCGACGTCATCTTTTTAAAAATACAGGGCATGATAAAAAAATACAGTGTTTAAATTTTTTAAATATATTACAGTAAAAGACACATTGCTGTTAGTTGCCTCTCAAAATAGTCCCCCTCACTTCAAAAATACTTACCCTGACCCTTCTTGCCACTTTCTGAGGCAGTTTTGAAATTTTTCTTCGATGAATGTCTTTGGTTGTATTATTGTGGCTGCCTTGATGTCCTGAATCCATTAAAAACATTTACCTTTTTCTTCCCATTTCACAATGTCAGTTATCTCATTAGGATCTTGACTAAAGGTGTAGGGAAAGTGAGAAGGGTAGGGGAAAGGTAATAAGGGAAAAGAAAATATGAGAAAATGAAAAAATGGAAATAACGTGTTTGTAAATGGGGAGGGGAGGAGGAGATGAAGGGAGGGCAGGGACAAGGGGAAAAAATGAGAACCAAGACCACCTGTCATGTAAAGGTACAAGATCCCAATAATGAATGTAACTGTACTGTATACCTAAAATGTACCAATAAACTCAATAAAAGAAAAACAATTTACCTTTTCTGGTCCTATAAGAGGACTCCAGAACTGCTTCAGGAAGTGACAAGAATGATGGGATAAGTGTATTTGAAGCAAGGAGGAGTATTTTGAGGAAGATTAATGGCAGTGTGTTTTACTGTAATAAAGTATTTTAATTTAAAAAATTTTTATTTTAAGAAAAAATTAAATTTCATAAGAGAATAACAATAGTTAATAAGGTGTGTATCATAATTTCAAAGGTAACTCAGAGTAGGAGACTAACAGAATATAAGGCATAGACAAAAAAGTCTCTTACAAAGAAGAGATAACACAAAACTTTCTTTTCAGTGAACTAAAACTAGTAGTATAAATGAATCAAATTGATCAACTAGACAATAAATCAACAAAAAAAATCATTGAGCAAAGCTCTCAAACAAATGGACTTAGATATCTATATAGTGTTTCACTCAACACCAACAGAATACACATTCTTTTCAACAGCACATGGAACTTTCTCCAAAATAGACCACATGCTAGCCAATAGATAGCCCTAAGTAAATGTAGAATAATTGAAGTTATACCATGCATAGTACCAGACCATGGCACAATGAAGTTAGAAACCAACAACAAAAGAAAACACAGAAATTATTCAGATGCATGGAAACTCAACAGTACAATCTTGACTAAATAGTAAGTTGCATAAGAAATCAAGGAAGAAATAAGACTAAATGGTAATGCCAGTACAACATACCAAAACATGGAATACAATGAAAGCAGCCTTAAACAGAAGTTCATACCTGTGAATGCCCACATCACAAAAACAGCAAATCCAAATAAATAACCTAATAATGCACCTCAAGATCTTAGAAGAACAAGAACAATCCAGCTGGGATTTAGCTCAGTGGTTCCACCCCCTGTCGCACAAGTGCGAGGTCCTGAGTTTGATCCCCAGTACCAAACAAACAAAAAACCAGCCCAAACCCAAAGCTAGTATAAGGAAGGAAATTATAATGGTCACAGTAGAAATCAGTGAAATTGACACACACACACACACACACACACACACACAGAGTTAATGAATCTGAGAGTTGGCTGTTTGAAAGAATAAACAAAATAGACAAACACTTAACCAATCTAAACAAAAAATGGAGAGAAACGACCCAAATCAGCCAGGGATTTAGCTCAGTAATGCCACTGCCTGCCTCACAAGCACAAGGTCCTGAGTTCGATCCCTGGTATCAAAAAAACAAAAACACAGAAGCAACCAAATCAATGCAATGAAAAATAAAGAAGGTAAAAAATCACAACAGACATTGCCAAAATAAAAGAAACTTATTAACAACTACTTTGCAAACCTGTATGCAAATAAATTGGCGAATTCAAAAGTAATGGATACATTCCTAAATACATGTGAATTACCAAAATTGAACCAAGATTTAAAAACCCTGAATAATCTAATAACAGATGATGAAATTGAAGTAGTAATAAATAACATACCAACTAAGAAAACCCCATGTCCAGACAGGTTCACTGCTTAATTCTACAAAAACTTAAAGCTCTAATACCAATACTTCTCAAGCTTTTTAATGAAATTGAATGGGATAAAGTAGTCCCAACAATCATTCCTGGAAGCTGGCATTGCCCTGATTTCAAAACCAGACAAGGATCCAACCAAAAAAGAGAGCTAAAGACAACCTCTTTCATAAATATGAATGCAAAAATCCTCAAGAAGATACTGGCGAACAATGCAACAAATCATCAAATAGATCATATATCATAACCAGGTACACTTCATCCCAGGCATGCATGGATGGTTCAATGTTTGCAAATCAGTAAGTGTAATACATCACATAAATAGAAGCAAGGACAGAAGTCACATGATCAACAGACAGAGAAAGAACCTTGGAAAAAATCCAAATCTTTGATTAAAAACACTGAGGAGAATAGGTATAGAAAGACCTTATTTCAGTCTGATAGTAGCCATTTTTGATAAACCTACTGCCAACATTCATATTCATTGACATAGATGATCCTAAAATAATCCACCAAAAGACTCTAGAATTAATAATAAAATTCAGTATTGTAGCACCAGTGATATAGCTCAGTGGTTCCACTGCTTGCCTTGCAAGTGCAAAGTCCCGAGTTCAATCCCTGGTACAAAAAAATAAAATCAAATCAGTAACGTAGCATTATGGAAGGAATCAGTAAGTGATACACAGAAAGGCAGCAGAATGGAAGTAAAATAATAAATTTACTCATCGATAAGGGTCGATCACACATAAGCCGTGCCTGGATTGACAATGTACTGGGTTACAACTCCTACTTTTACAGGGTTTTACAGCCTTGACTTCATTTGGGTGGTTACATTTCATTCTCACAGTTCAAATCACGGTCACAGAATAGTTAATCTTTTGAACCCAGACGTAATAGTTCTTTGCAGTTGGGGAGTTTACCTTTAAGATTTGCCTAGTTATCTACTTTAGTCAATAGGAAAGGGGTGTTCAGGGTCACAGGAGCGAATGTTGGCAATGGTCCTTTTTATTTTGACACTTTTATGATCAGGTGGCTTCAGTCTCTCTGGGAGCTCAAGACCTTATTGTGCCCTGTTATCTCAGGGTAAGACCAAATGCCTCATTCAGCCATTAGTGCCTTCTGGTGCCTATTAGTTTTGAGCTAAACAAAACAAACTGATGTTAGAGACAGCAGAAGCCACTTTACATTGTAACACTTTATAGGTTTTTACTTTTTATAAAAGTTTTTCCTATCATTAGCAAGGTACAAAAATCAATAGCATTCTTGTATACTAATAATGAAACCACTAAGAAAAAATTAAGGAAAACTACTGCTTTACAATAGCCCCAAGAAAAAATAAATACTTAGTAATTAACTTCAGGAAGCAAAAGACCTCTGCAGTGAAAACTACAGTACTCTGAGAAGAAAACTGAAGAGGATATCAGAAAATGAAAAGATATCCTAGTCCTGAATAGCCAGAACCAATATATTCGTAATGGCAATATTTTCATAATTGATATAAGGATTTAGTGCAATCCCAATGAAAATTCCAACAACTTTCTTCACAGAACTGGAGAAAACAATCCTGAAATTTATTATAGAACCAGGAGATCCAGAATAGCAAAAGTAATCCTGAATAAAAAGAGCAAAGCAGGAGGTGTACCACAGTCCTAGACTTGAAGATATATTGAAAAGCTACTGTGATGAAAACATCGTGGTACTAGCATAAAAACAGACATGAGGATCAGTAGAACAGATTAGAGGATGCAGAAGTAAACCCAAGCACATTCAACTATTTGATCTTTCACAAAGGGGCCAAAAATATACACTGGAGGAAAGATAGCCTCTTTAGTTAGGTGGTGTGGAGAAAGCTGGCTATCCATATGCAGAAGATTGAGCTAGACTGAATCTAGATCTCTCACCATATACTAAAATCAAAATGGATTGAAGAACTAAATGTTAAACCAGAAACACTTAACCTGCTGGAAGACAAGATGGGTAAAACTCTTGAAATCATAAGCATAGGCAAGAACTTTCTTAACAGAACAGGAAATAGTTCTGAGAATCAACAAATGGGATCATGTTAAATTCAAAAGCTTCTGCAAAGCAAAAGTAACAACCAACAAAGTGTAAAGACAACCTATAGAATGGGAAAGATATTTGCCAATGAGTCATCTGATAATCTAAAACCTAGAATATATAAAGAATTTTTAAAAAATTGGGTCCCCCCTAAATAAAAGACCCAATCAAAAATTAGGCAAGCCAAATTAATAGACACTTCACAGAAGAAGTACAGGTGGCCAATAAATACATGAAAAGATGCTCAATATCACTGGCTATTAGAGAAATGCAAATTAAAACAGCACTGCAATTCCATTCTCCAGAGAGAATGGCCATCAGCAAGAAATCAAAAAATAACAAATCAGGTGTGGTGGTGCAGGCCCGTAATCTCAGCACTGAGGCAGGAGGTTTGCTCTGAGTTTAAGGCTAGCCTGGGCTATTACATAGTGAGTTCAAGGTCCTAAATTCAATCTCCCCCAACCCAGTATCAGAACAAAAAAAGCCCATGTGGTGAAGTACTATCCAACCTAGATTTTCATGTAATTTATAATAGCCCAAAACTTTAAATCCTAGATCAGAATTATGAGCTTTGAAAACAGTTTTTTGGGTTATGTGAATCTGGCATCAATAGCAGAACTAGGAAATAAGCTCTGAAGTGAATGGCACCTAAGTTGGTAGACAAGCCTTGAATTCAGTACCCATTCTAATCATATCTAACAAGTATGATTTGTTTTTGTACTTTTGTAAAGCAGATAGGTTTATGGAGATAGGTGGTTTTTGGTACTGTCTCTACAGTTTAGCATGTGTCTGCACAATATGAAGCATAATTTTAAAGTACTTCAGATTGATGTGAACACATTTAAAGCTATATTGTTTTAAAAATTAATTTTATTGGCCAGGATGTGTTACAAAAGGCAATTAAATGTGCTATTAGTTATATACTTTAACTGCCTGAGAATATAAGTAAAGAAATTGAAGTCTGAAAATATCCCATAGTTTTTCAGTAGGAGGCATTGCAATGAATAAACTTGATTCCCTTTGGTTCTTGTGTGGATAGAGCAACTTGCTGAGCTTCGCCAGGAGTTTCTTCGGCAAGAAGACCAGCTTCAGGACTATAGAAAGAACAACACTTACCTAGTGAAGAGATTAGAATATGAAAGGTAAGATGCTACATGCCACACTGGTATATTTCATGAATCTAAAATATTTGTCCCCAACTATTGAATTTGTTTATCTCTTCTTTTCTGGCTTTTTCTTTTTTCATTTTATTTAGTATTTTAAATTAATTTTATTTTATCTTTCAATGCCTCTTTGAGATCCATACTTTTATTTTGATATGTTAAATACTATAGAGATATCTCTTAAAGGACATACTGGGTTTGTCCATGTTGTAGTGTTCATGGTGAGACACAAGTCTTACAGTTTTATCAAATACGATGTGGCAAAGACTGAAGGGTTCTGCGATTCTTTCTGAGGGGCATCCAGAAGAAGAAGCCAACACTGAGGTGTCCCCAGAAGAGCTGAGGGACTAAGAATTAGCTGCTTTTCCTGCTCTGCACTTAGCCGCATTGTTGACACACTTGTGGTGAAGCTGGGCAAAATCTTAGGGGCCTTTCTAACGATTATTTTTTAGAAACTTATAATACCTTTAGTCAATTTTATGATAAAAGATAATTTTTAGATCTGTACACCAAACATTAGAAGGATTCAACATATTTTGAAATAGTTTTATCTGTTCCTAACTTTTTAAGAATTAATTTTATTGATGGGCCAGGGATTTGGCTCAGTGGTTCCGCTCCCTGCCTTGTAAGCGCAAGGACCCAAGTTTGATCCCTGGTACCAAAAAAAAAATAATAATAATTTTTTTGGTACATTTAAGGTATACAGTATAATGACATTCATCATTGGAAATTTGCACCTTTACATAATCCATCTTGGTTCTTATTTTTCCCCATTCCCCTGCCTTCCCTTCAACCCCTCCACCCTTCCTTATCTACAAAGACTTTATTTCCATTTTTTTTCTTCTTATATTAATTCCATTCCCCTCTTTCTTTTCCCCTACAACTCCCACTTCCCTTCCACTTTGTACCTTTTCTTCCTATTTCACATTATCTATTATACCTTTTAGTCCTTATTTATACTTTCCATTTCTCACACCAGAGAAACTGTTTGGTATTTACACATATATGTCCTATTTATTTCACTTAAGAATATCACCTCAATGTGCATCTGTCTAGCTATATATGTCTCTAGTTTCTCATTTCTTGTGGCCGAGTAGTACTCTATTAAAAAAAAAAACACACACACATTTTGTCTATCCAGTCTCCTGTTGATGGGCGTTTGGGCTGCTTCCAAGTTTTAGCTATCACAAATTATGCTGCTATGAACATAGGTGCACATATATCATTGTGGTATGATTTTTTTAATTCAGTGTTTATTTGCTATTTCTACTTCTTTGTCTGAGAAATGTCTGTTCATTTCAGATGCCCTTTTTGGACTGGGTCTTTAAATTTGGGAGGTCTGGTTTTTTTTAGTTCTTTTTATACTCTAGATGGTAGACCTTTGCGGAAGAGCTGGTGAAAAGTTTTTCTCACATTGTGGAGTGTCTCAACAGTATTGGTCATTTCTCTTGCTGTGCAAAAGCTTTTGAATAACAAGACATCCCACTTGTTGATTGTGCTAGTTCATGAGCAACTGAGATTTTTTTCATAAAAAATTTTCCTATACCAGTGTCTTCAAGAGTTCTACCAAACTTCTCTTCCAGCCACTTTAGTTTTCCTGGGTTTTGATTTTGGTTTTGGTTTTTGGTTTTTTGTTGGTACCAGGGATTGAACTCTGGTCCTTGCACTTGCAAGGCAGGCCACCGAACCGCTGAGCTAAATCCCCGGCCCAGTTTTTCTGTTTTAATATTTAGATCTTCAATCCATTTGATTTTAGTTTAGTGCATGGTGAGAGATACAGGTCTAGTTTTAATCTTTGGCAAGTTGAAACCCAGTTTTTTCAGCACCATTTACTAAAGGGCTATTTTTCCTCCAGTGAGGGTGTTTGGCTTCTTTGCCAAAGATTAGGTGGCTGAGTGTGTCTGGAGTTTTTTCTGTATCTTCTAATCTGTCCTCAGGTCTGTTTCTTTGCCTGTGCCATGATGTTTTTATCACAGTAGATTTGTAGTATAACTTCAAGTTGGGGATTGTGATACCCCCTACCTTGTCTCTGTTGCCTAGGATTGCTTTTGCTATTCTAGGTCTCTTCCGGTTCCAAATGAGTTTTTGGGTTGTTTTCTCAAGACCTGTGAAGTATGCTGCTGGAATTTCAATTGGGATTGCATTGAATCTATATAGCAGTTTTGGAAGTATGGCCATTTTCACTATGTTAATTCCTCCTACCCAGGAGAAAGAGATGTCTTTCCATTTTCTGATGTCATCTTCAATCTCTTTTTTCAAAGTGCTGTAGTTTTCAGAGTAGAGGTCTTTTATTTCTTTTGTTAGGTGGATTCCTAGGTATTTCAGTTTTGTGGATGTTATTGTGAAAGGAATTGTTTGCCCAGTTTTTCTCTCACTGAGTCTGTTTATTTTGTACAGCAAAGCTATTGATTATTGTGTGTTGACCTTGTATCCAGCTACTTTACTAAACTTGGGTATTAAGTCTAATTTTGGTGGAGTTCTTGGGGTCTTCTAAATAGAGTATCATGTCATCTGCAAATAATGACAGTTTGACTTTTTTATTTCCTATCATTATTCCTTTTATTTCTCTTGTCTAATTGCTCTGGCTAATGTTTCCAAACCTATATTGAACAGGAGTGGTGACAGTGGTCATCCTTGTCTTGTTTGTGATTTTAGTGTGAAGGATTTGAGTTTTTGATCATTTTGTATGATATTGGCTGTTGGTTTTTTATAGATGGCTTTTATCAGATTGAGATAGAGACGTTCTATTCCATTTTTTTGGAGATTTTTTATTTTTGAATGGGTGTTTGACCTGGTCAAATGCCTTATCTGCATCTATTGAGATGATCATATGTATTTTTGTCCTTGACTGTATTAATATAGTGCATCACATTTATTGATTTGAATATGTTGAACCCTGGGATAAATCCCACTTGGTCAGGGTGTATGATATTCTTGATGATCTTCTGCATTCTGTTTGCCAGTATCTTATTAAGGATTTTTACATCTATGTTCATTAGTGAGATTGCCTATAGTTCTGTTTTTAGTTTGGGGCTTTCTCTGCTTTTTGGATCAAGGTGATGCTTGCTTCCAGGAATGATTTGGGGAATATTGCTTCCCTTTCAATTTCATTGAAGAGTTTAAACAGTAATGGCAGTAGTTCCTCTCTAAATTTCTCATAGAATTCAGCAATTAAGCCATCAGGACCCAGACTTTCTTAGTTGGTAAGTTTTTAATTATGTTTTCAATTTCATTGATTGATATTGAGTCATTTAGAATTTTTTAGGTCATTTTCATTTAACTTTCATAATTCATATGTATCTAGGAATCTGTCCATTTCTTCTGTATTTTCCATATTATTGGCATATAGTTTCTCAAAGAAGGTATTGAGGGTCCTCTGGATTTCTGCTGGATGGATCTGTTGTAATTTCACCCTTTTCATTCCTAATTGCATGGATTTGGTCCTTTTCTTTCCTTTTTTTTTTTTTTTTTTTTTTTTTTTTTTTTTGATAAGGTTGGCTAAGGGTTTGTCAATTTTGTTTATTCTTTTGAAGAACTAACTTTTCGATTCATTGATTTTTTTTTTGTATTGTTCTCTTAGTCTCTATTGCATTAATTTCTGCTCTGATCTTTACCATTTCCTCCCTTATATGATCTTTGGGTTTGTCCTGCTCTTTTTCTGGAAGCTTTAGGTTCATATCAGGTTGTGTAATTGAGCTTGCTCTATTTTCCTAATATGAGTATTCACTGCTATGAATTTCTCTCATAAGACTGCTTTCATTGTGTCCCATAGATTCTGGTATGTTGTATTGTCATTGTCATTTATAATTTCCTCTGTGACCCATTGTTTATTAAGAAGTGTGTGGTTCAATTTCCATGTGTTTATGAAATTCTTGCGGTTTGTTTTGCTATTGATCTCCAATTTCATTGCACTATGGTCTGATAATATACAGGGGATAACTTCAATATCTTTGCACTTAAACATGTTCTATGAGCTAGCATGTGGTCTCTTTTGGAGAACTATTCATGAGCACCTGAAAAGAATGTGTATTCTGATTTTGTGAGGTGGAACACTCTGTAAACATCTGTTAGGTTCTTTTTCTCAAGAGTTTGATTGAGTTCTAGTATTTCCTTTTCTTTTTAATCTGGTTAATCTATTTTTGACAGTGAGGCATTGCAGTCCCCCACTACTATTCTATTAGTGTTTATATGATTTTTCATTTCCACTAGTATTTGTTTTATATAATTGGGCACACCAGCGGTTGTTGCATATATATTTATGATTATCATCTTTTTTTTCTCTTGGATTATTCCCCTTACAAGGATGTAGTTGGCCTTCTTTGTCTCCCTTAATTATTGTTGGTTTGAAATCCACTTGACCTGCAAAGATGATAGCTTCTCTCCTGCTTTTTTGGGGGTTCATGTCACATGGAGTATTGTTTTCCGCCCTTTAACGTTCAGTCTGTGAGTTTCTTTTTGAATTAAGTGTGTTTCTTGTATATTGCATATTATTGGGTTTTGCTTCTTGACCCATTCTGCCAGTCTATTTCTTTTGATTGTTGAATTGAGACCATTAACATTGATGGTTATAACTGATATATATTGATTTATCCTTGTCATGACTTTTTCTTTTTGTTGGATTCTCCCCCTTTACATTTAGTTTCTTGTTTTGCCTAATGGATTCCTTCTGCTGGGTTTCCTGGGATTGTGGTCCTCATTGTCTTTTCCTAGGATATAGTATAAAATTTTTTGGAGTGCTGATTTGGTATTCATGAAGTTCTTAAGGTGCTCTTTGTCATAAAAGTATTTTATTTCTTCATCAATTTGGAAAGATAGTTTTGCAGGGTACATCAATCTTGGTTGGAGGTTGTTGTCCTTTAGGCCTTGAAATATGTTACTCCATGCTCTTTTTGCCTTGTGGGTTTGTGTTGAGAAGTCTGCTGTGATTTCCTGGGGATTTCCTTTGTGAAAAGGAATGTGATTTGTTTCTTTTCTCTAAC